CTTAGACCTTTATATATCCAGGTGCGGGTTAACAGGTTAAAAAATCCGCTCCTCGCTCCAGTCAAAATCACACCGCTCCGCTCACATACTCTGATTGTGAGTAACTGTTGCTGTCATGACAGATCTATTTCAGAACCAGCTGCTATCAAAATAATCTGCCTGCGGCCGCGGGCCAGATATTATTGCTGGCGGGCCAGTTTTGGCCAGCGGGCCGCCTGTTGCCGACGTGAACCGATGTGAACCGGGTGTTTAGGAAGCAGAAATCTAGGAAAGCTTCAGGCCCAGATGGTGTTTCACCTGCCTGTTTAAAAGTCTGTGCTGACCAACTGGCCCCCATCTTCACACAGATCTTCAACAGATCTCTGGAGCTGTGAGAAGTTCCCTGCTGCTTCAAATGCTCCACCATCATTCCGGTCCCCAAAAAGCCCAAAATCACTGGACTTAACCAGCTGCTGTTAACAAGCAGAATCACTGAAGAAAAGAGAAACACAAGAACTACAACTGACTTCAGCCACAGCCTTAGATGAAATCAACTGAAATAAAAGACATTAAATCTCTCAAGATTTCAGTAGAAGATAATTAATCAACTCTACAAACAGCATCACCAGCTTCACACATTACTAACCAGCAGTGTTGGGCAGTAACGCATCACTTAGTAACGCGTTACTGTAATGTAATTACTTTTTTAGTAACGGAGTAATTTAACGCGTTATAATTTTCAAAATAGTAATTAGAGTATAGTTACAAGCCGAGGTCTCTATACGTTACTGCCGTGTTTCATTGCTGACAGAATGCAGTGTTTTATAATCTAGAGATTGTAAAAAGGATGTTGATCACACACTGTCGAGTCAAGTGCAGAGACTCGTGTGTGTGTGTGTGTGTGTGCGGGATGCGGGAGAATAAAATGATAGAAATATCCCACAAAATAGAAATATCTAAACATAAAATATCTGAAACAAATAAATTGTTATTCATCTATTGCACAAAAGCAACATGAACTAATATAAAATATAAACGATTAACAGGTGCAAGCGTATGCAGAGTTTCTAATTAGGCTATAACACGTGTTTGCAGCGTTGAGCAATGCAGTGCTGAAATTTGCGTGTTCACGAATCCTCTCATTATAACACACGAATTGTAGACATTATGAACGATTCATTATGCATATATTTATTGTGTTATAACAGAGATTTGTGAGATTGCGATGAACTGAGATGTCTTTTAGAGATTATAAATGCAGCGCTCTTTGCTGGCATTCTGCCATGCCAAGCCATGCACGCAGCAGCCGCTGCTTTAGTTAAAAATAACAGTGTTCTGTGAATGTTGATGCTTTAATAACAAATACTTATCGGGAGTGTGTATGCTGGGATGAAAAGAAAGAAGAATTCTACCCTTCTTTCTTCCTCTCTTTTGGGTTGCTTAGAAGAGATTAAATCCTGGTTTTCGCGTAACTTTCTCAAGCTGAATATTGACAAAACATAAGTTCTCCTTGTTGGTACCAAATCTAATTAGTCAAAACCCAATAGTTTTTCACTTTCTGTTGATAACTCTATAATCTCCCAATCTACTCAGGTTAAAAGTGTGGGTGTCATCCTCGATAGTACGTTGTCTTTTGAGAAGCATGTGAACAATATTACTCGGTCTGCGCAGAGCCATGGAAAGAGAGAGCTGCGTCAACGGAAGTCCAAACGCTCGATCGTCACGTGATTCACGTAGACCTCAAATAGTTCCAGGAAGCTCATAGCGGGCAACTGAAATACATTGAGTTGGAGAGACAGAACTGTGATTTTGGGTAATTAGTAGACAATAAAATAATTTATTTACATTATTTATAAAATAATGTATACGTAGTATATATATAGATGTAGTTATATTAGTGTTGTTTTTAAAAGATAAAATCCTCTAATATTTGAGGATTAATGTGGTCAGCTATCCTTACCTGCCTTGTTAACATATTTTAGGCTGAAGGTAAAAGTCCGTGTTTGCTATATAAACGACATCGTGGTCTTCTGCCAACAAGTTCAATCACAAATATACCTGTTCATTGTCGTTTTACTAATCTCATGGTAAATGTTAAGTTTGTTGTCTTAGAAAATACGTTCCAAATAAATGAAGATATTTTATTAAGTGAAAACTAATCTTGTTCAATGTTTTTGATTCTTGTGCACCCCTCAGTTATTTATATATAAAAATATATTTGTAGTATATTCCAATTTAAAACAAAATTTGTACACATTTAATCATATATTTTATGTTGACTTTTGTTTGTTATAATACCTTTCAAAAGTTCATCACAGCGTTCTCTTCTGCTGCATCTCTACGGCGCTGATAGCATGAGCGCTAACTTCCGGGAACTATTGAGCGGCTCCACGATCCGCCATTGCTGTAAAAAAACGATGGATGAAACTGCATGAAGAGAATGAATAACATCCCGTAAATCTACTAATTAAGTGAGGAATAATCTAATAATCATCTGTTTTAATGCACAGGGTAATTTGATTAGCTGTGCTGATAATGTACTATTTTGTTCTATAAATGTAATACCTTTCAAAAGTTCATCACAGCGTTCTCTTCTGCTGCATCTCTACGGCGCTGATAGCATGAGCGCTAACTTCCGGGAACTATTGAGCGGCTCCACGATCCACCATTGCTGTAAAAAACTGGTCCACTGGAGTGAACGGAGTTGTCACAACTCTCTCTCTCTACAGCTCTGGGTCTGCGTATCTCCAATTACGGAACATCAGCCGCCTTCATCCATTTCTCACACCAAATTCCACAGCTATTCTTGTACATGCTCTAGTTACCTCGCGCATTGATTATTGTAACTCTCTTCTCTTTGGGAACCTTACAAACTCCTTCATAAACTTCAATTGGTCCAGAATTCAACTGCCCATATGATTACTAGAACCTCCTCCATCGAGCATATTACTCCAGTTCTCTACCATCTTCACTGGCTTCCTGTTAAATATCGAGTAAAGTACCACATATATTTTTTTCCCTTCTTTTCTTTTATTGAAAAATGATTTTATCAGCAATTAAAATTAGATGTTCATTAATACAATTTAATTATTTAACATAGGCCATATAGCTATATCATATCCTACTATCTGAACAGCATTAGTCTCCTAAATTCCTAAATATTCTCCCTATGTAAGTCACACAATATACGCAGGCAAATATGTACGAAAAATTTACAATGCCAATATCTTGATACAGTCTTTATTGAAACAGTTTTCTAAACACATCCACTCCTTCTAGACCCTTGATTTATAGGGCTCATACATTCATTCAACACATTTTGTCTAATGCCAAAACAGGACGTGCATTTTCACCGTATACTATACCCCTGCAATGTCTGCACATTCCATTTCCATGCAGGCTTCTATACACACAGGCAAATACACGATTATAAAAGTAGAATAACTTTATACATAGATGGCTACCCTGCAGACAAGCCTGCACTGGTCCTTTACGGGCAGCCAGCGCAGGACCCCTGAGAACTTGCTCATTGGCCCCTTAGCACTAGCAGCCCTCACTTAGCCTCCAGAAAGCCTTAGTGCTGGAGCTACTATAATGTGAATTAATTAAACCTAAGCAATGAACTCAGAGATCAAGCTCTGGGTGAGATCAGGGAATCATCAGATCAGTTTTTTTTCTTGCGACTTACAAGGCTATAACAAATGTGGTTCAGAAACAGTTACAGCACCCTGAGAAAAACTTAAATTAGAAAGTCAAGGGTCAGGAACCCAACTAAAGCAAGCGCTTACCTCCATAACAGTGACTTCAAACTTTATTATTTTCAATAAAACAGCGCTAAGGCTTCCTGGAGGCTAAGTGAGGGCTGCCTGTGCAGGGCCAGTGCTAAGGGGCCAACGTTTTGCCAATGAGCAAATTTCTCAGTAAAGGGACCCGTAGAGGGCCAGTGCAGGCTTGATTGCAGGGTATATTCTCATTGATTATACTTGATTAATTCATATTTTGATTAATAAAAATATTCTACATTGTCAGCTTATTTAAATAAGGAGATTTGACTTTAATTTTATGGTTTTTGTTTGACAGCTGTTGCTGCCAGTCATTTGACCCTTTTATCATCTAACGGTTCTGTTATTGTATTAATTACAGATTATTTTTGTAATTTTTACATACATATGTTGGTAATGTAAGAAAACAGAAAACACACTGTATAAAAATAGTGAAAAAAGTTTTTCTGTATAAAAATGTGAATTACTGCAATTTGCCATTAATGTCATAATACTTAAAATAACAGCAAAGTAGTTAATTTAGAGATAATTTTACAGAGTTTTGACTACAATTTAAAATAAAAGAAAACAACCTAAAAAAAATCAGTTATTTTTCATAAAATTAAGATTTTTGTTTTTTTACAGTGCAGACAAGCAGAAAACTTTTCAATGGAGTTAGACCTCAAAAATCGGAGTTTTTCCATTTGTATGACAAAGACCATGTCCATAATCCAAATTCGAAAAGAGGGAGGTGAGGATGACTTCCAGTTCTTTAATATAAGTCTCTTGGCTACAATCATACTCGGTGTAAGGGCCTGTTGTAAAGTTTTTGGAAGGCTAGAGGTGCGTTGTGAAAAGCCAAAGATAGCAAGTTCTGCGTCTGGCAGAAGAGGCCTATTTTAGGCCTTAGAGTATCAATCACATATGCTTGTCCAAAATCCTGACAGTGAAGGGCAAAACCAAAAATAATGAGCAGTTGTATCCTCCATGAGCTTGCACTTGTCACACAATGGTGAAACAGAAGACAAAATTTTGTGCAGTTTGGTTTTAGTATAGTGAAAGCGATAAATGACCTTGAATTGTATCATGTCTGCTGTTGACTGAGCCTAAATGACTCTCTAAATACTAACTGTAGTATAGGCTGTTTTATTGCAATTTTAAGGTTTTTAAAACTTAAATACGTAAAATTGTGAGTGCATTGCATGGTACAGCTTTCTTGATTATTCTTGTTTCAACACAATTTATTGCTTGCTCATAAAGTCAAGTTTGATTTATACCCTTTTCTTTAGAATCAATATCAGTTACAGTTACCTTCATTTCAGTGAAGCCAAATTTCATTTCTAAACTGACCTCACGATTCAAGCCCCTGTTACTTATGGGAATCCCCACTGTAAAAGAGCCAATTGGCTCCGCCCCCGACTCATCGACACACTTGACATTTTGTCTTCTAGTTCTGTCAAATTTAAATGCCATTGTTATTTGATTGTCTGTTGGGCTGAAAGTAAATGTTTGAAATTCATCACTGAGGACTGATTCTCCCTTGCTAACAAGTTTTTCAGTGCAGACATTGTAGCATTCATGTCCTTCACTATTTACATATTTGTTTTTTCCCTTGTGTATAGATTCATCAAGAAGCATATTTTCACTGACACAGTATGTGGGAGCACATGATTTTACCACTTTAGGTTGTTTGCCATACATGACTGCTCCTTTTATTATTGCAAACTGGGGTTCAACTGGGCACAGTACTCTACATCTAGAGCTAAAGTGCTTCGTCATAAAATCTCTCAGCATTGGACTTTCAGCATAACCTCCAATTAACAGCATGGACTCAATGTTCAGCTCATTATTTTTCATAATCTGCTTAATTTTGTCTGCAGTTGCCCAGAGACTGTCAGTAAAACAGCTCCTCAGTTGTTGCTCTTTAATTAGGATTCTTCCATCATACCATTCTGCTCCATGAACACCCTCAAAGTAACTTTCTATGCTTTGTTTTCGTCTTGCAATTGCTTGAAAGGAGAATGGGCACGAGATCAGCACATCTCCATCAGAAGATTTTATCAGAGCAATGTCACATTGTAATTTAGGCACTTCTGCTGGGTATTCATGCTCAAATTCCATGAAAATTTCCTCAGAAAATATATATTTGAGAAAAGAGGTGAACTTTCTGTCTACTGCTTGTCCACCCATGTCATTTGCTGAAGCAGCATGCAATTTCTTCAGGTGTCCCTCCTCCATCACCTCATGTACTGTTATGTCAATTGTTTCACCTGCAAAATATGTAACAATTTAATAATAATGTAATTTAATTACAGTGCAGTAAAAATTGTCCAGTAAATTAACAGTAAAATACTGGCAGCACATTTGCCCATAGTTTACTGTAATTTTACAGTTCTTTAGCCACTTTACAGTATGTAACTGTAATGCACTAAATTACAATAACTGCCATGCATGTTTATAAACCAATATTTATGTTAACAATGTGAGCACATTAATACTCTGAACTCTTTTAATCTGAGACTACTAAAAAAAGAATATTTCTTAATATAACATTATCTGAATTAAGCAAAATCATTACTAGTAAAAGCGTAATTTAACTCAAATCCCTTGCAGAAAACTGCTAGCTAACAACAGCTCACATGCATGTGCAACTGGAGTTAGCGAAGAGACTCACACTGCATCAGTAACTCGAGTTCCCTTTCAGTCAGTCACGTTCAACATTACGTCAGTGACTGACGAATTGAGATCTCGCCGGAAAGACCAATCACCTTTGAGTGTTAACAAAACGAGCCAATGAATATTGGCGTGCGAGCTTTGCATTGTGCACCCCGCCCCACAGTGCGGGCATATAAGGAGTGCACGTGCAGTCGCACATTCAGTTTTTCGCTGAGGGGCCGAGCCTTTCTGCTTGAGGAGTCACCGAAGAGAGTGTCTACAGACAGCGTTTCTGCGAGTGTTGGTGTTACAGCGCGTCAGCGGAGGTTTGCTGGTCCAGTGCTGCTGCTTTTCTGAGTTTGGTTGGTGTGCTGCAGCTCATCAAACTGCGGTTGCGCTGCGACCTCTGTGAGCTTCAGCACTTTATATCTAAAAGAGCAATATCTAAAAGAGCTCCATGGTAGAGCCCTGCATTTCAGCCCGAGCCTGACTGGCCCCGATTTATTTACACCGCTAGGGCCGGGCTTTGGGCTAATTTTCACGTCATAGCTCATGGGCTTCTCCATATTTTTACATTTCAGACATCCATCAATTATGGTGATGAAAAAGATTTGCCACACTGGTGGAAACAACACAAGACCATGCTACCACGACTGTAAAGACCGGCTCAGACGGTGTTTAGTGTCCCTGCCAGCAGCAGCAACAGCAGCGAGTGTGCCTTTAGTGCAGCTGGAAGAGTTCTGTGTTCAAGTGCACGCAATAGGCTAACGCTTGCTGCAAAAGTAATTACGATGAATGTGTTGGGGCTAAATAGTAAGGACATACAGATGCATCTCAATAAATTAGAATGTCATGGAAAAGTTCATTTATTTCAGTAATTCAACTCAAATTGTGAAACTCGTGTATTAAATAAATTCAGTGCACACAGACTGAAGTAGTTTAAGTCTTTGGTTCTTTTAATTGTGATGATTTTGGCTCACATTTAACAAAAACCCACCAATTCACTATCTCAACAAATTAGAATACTCCATAAGACCAATAAAAAAAAATTTTTGTCAGAGGCGTCTTACCTGGGCTAAGGAGAAGAAGAACTGGACTGTTGCCCAGTGGTCCAAAGTCCTTTTTTCAGATGAGAGCAAGTTTTGTATTTCATTTGGAAACCAAGGTCCTAGAGTCTGGAGGAAGGGTGGAGAAGCTCATAGCCCAAGTTGCTTGAAGTCCAGTGTTAAGTTTCCACAGTCTGTGATGATTTGGGGTGCAATGTCATCTGCTGGTGTTGGTCCATTGTGTTTTTTGAAAACCAACGTCACTGCACCCGTTTACCAAGAACTTTTGGAGCACTTCATGCTTCCTTCTGCTGATCAGCTTTTTGAAGATGCTGATTTCATTTTCCAGCAGGATTTGGCACCTGCTCACACTGCCAAAAGCACCAAAAGTTGGTTAAATGACCATGGTGTTGGTGTGCTTGACTGGCCAGCAAACTCACCAGACCTGAACCCCATAGAGAATCTATGGGGTATTGTCAAGAGGAAAATGAGAAACAAGAGACCAAAATATGCAGATGAGCTGAAGGCCACTGTCAAAGAAACCTGGGCTTCCATACCACCTCAGTAGTGCCACAAACTGATCACCTCCATGCCACGCCGAGTTGAGGCAGTAATTAAAGCAAAAGGATCCCCTACCAAGTATTGAGTACATGTTCAGTAAATGAACATACTTTCCAGAAGGCCAACTATTCACTAAAAATGTTTTTTTTATTGGTCTTATGGAGTATTCTAATTTGTTGAGATAGTGAGTTGGTGGGTTTTTGTTAAATGTGAGCCAAAATCATCACAATTAAAAGAACCAAAGACTTAAACTACTTCAGTCTGTGTGCATTGAATTTATTTAATACACGAGTTTCACAATTTGAGTTGAATTACTGAAATAAATGAACTTTTCCACGACATTCTAATTTATTGAGATGCACTTGTATTTGAATTTTATTAATAAACAAGTGTTTTTTGAGGCAGTGTTGCAAAGATGAAGTTGATGATTCTGACTTGCCATCTCCTCATCTTTACGGATTACATAATGAAAAAGTATTTGTTTTGTTATTTTAATTATTCTGTTTTAAAGTAGTAATTTAAAGCTTTCTATAGATGTATTTATCATGTCTGTGAGCCAAGTATTAGCTGATTTTCGGATCATTTTTGTGAAGTGTTCCTGGGGTACGTTTCCCAAAAGCATCGTTAGCTAACTATGGTCCTTAGTTCCATTGAACTCTACTGGTAACGACGGAACTTGCGACCATAGTTGCTTTTGGGAAACGCACCCCTGTTCAAAGAGACCGAGCCGGCAGAAAGAGCATCCTGTTTGTTTTCTTTATTTTACAAAAGTACAATGTTTTGTTGATATTGTGAGTGCACACAAATAAAACTAGACCCTTTACAGTTCCGAATGATGTATTACTCTTACCTTTATGAGCAAAAATGACGGCTTATTTTAAGTTGTTTCCACTGTTAAGTAAAAAAATGCAAGTGATCGCGCTGACACTTCCATGTCCTGCAAAGCGCATTTTAGCTTCCACTCTTTACACAAACGATTGGATATGCACCTAATAGCGCACTTGATCTAGGTTAAACATTTGAACTAACATTGTGATATGCTTGAAGTGTTTTATATCTATAGATTTCATTTTAGGCAAGTCGTGATGATTAACTCACTGTCTGCCGCTGGCCGCTTAGTCGTTACTTTAAAAATAAAAAACTTGAATTTAACAAACAAAAAATGTTCCAAACATATTTCTAAATTAACAACTCCCTGGGGTCGACGGTCGCGCCAGTGCGACCAGCTCACTTTTTTAAAGATCAGTGCGAAAGACACTAAATACGCAGTGAATACTGGATACAGAGACATGAGAGACATATCTATAGAAAGCTTGACATGTCTACTTTTAAATGAAGTAAGTGTTATCGAAAACAAATATTCTGTGATAAAGTAATCCATATAAAACCAACACGATGTTCATTCTTTCCCGTCTAAACTCATTATCTCTAATGTGATCCCGCCCAAGAGCAGCACGCGCCCTTCATATCTAAATATCCACATGAGACGTGCGCACATGTAAACGCCAAACGTAAACAAAGCGTGAGGATAGTCAAGTTCATCGCGGCTACTGTTCGTTTCTGGAAGAAGACGCGCTGAGAGGAATAATAAGCCAGAATTTACCTCAGAAAAAGAACCAGATGCGACGCGCTTCATCCAGTGGATGAGATCAATTTGATGAGTAAGTCATGTTTCTTTTTGCAGTAATTCACGTGTTATTGTGACAAACTTGAACACATTTACTACTTGGGCTTTTCCCAAACTATAATTCCTGATTAAATTGTTTGAAATGAGTGAAACATTTTGAATATGATAGGCAGCTCATTTTATCTAAATTTCTTATGACACGATTGTTTTCATGCTCTATTTAATATAAAACAATACAATATAAAAGTAATATGAGTGTACACTGTAACATGATGAATGCTACGAGTCTAAGAATGATTAGACCATTTTATTATTAATACTCTGTTCACAAATATATTTTTATAATGTGCTAAACAATAATAATTAGTTTCTCAGATATAAAATGTCCTTTTATAGGATAGTACAAAGCATGCGTGAGTCTATGACTACAAAATCATATACTATAAAATAATACATAGGCTACTAGGCTATATGACTACAAAATCATAGTTGGCTTTTTCTAAAACTATCATTCCTGAATAAATGTTTGAAATCGAGTAAAACATTTTGAATATGATAGGAAATTCATTGTAATTAAATTAAATTTCTCACGGTGCGATGATGTTTTTATGCTCTATATAATATAAAACAATAGCCTATATAAAATTAATATGAGTGTGCACTGTAACATGATGAATGCTTGTTAAGAATGTTTAGAGTTAGACCATGTTTATTATTAATACTCTGTTCACAAATAGATTTTATTACTGCTAAACAATAATAATTCGTTTCTCAGATACAAAATGTACTTTTTTACAGTAGTACAAAGCATGCGTGAGTCTATGACTACAAAATCTATATATACAGATGCTCCTGATATTAACATGCTCACACGTGTTTTTTATTTTTTTTTTGGTTGTTTGTTTTTTAGTGATCGGATACCTGCACCACAGATGAATCCTGCTGACTTTCACTTGAGTCTCTTCAAACTGTTTTCCTCTGAGAGCGCTGTACCAACTTCAGATGTTCAACTACACTGATATTCTGTGGTAAAACAAGCTCCTTGATGTTTTATTGTTTCGTTTGGAGTTACCATTATCAAGATCCGTGTTTGCTTTAGTTGGCTCTTGACCCTTGACTTTTGAATAGTGTTTTTGTTTATCTGGCTGCTGTAACTGAATGTTTAGAAAACATATTTGATATAGTAAAAAAGGCCAGAAAAACATATGATCAGGTGTTTTTAGCTGTGGTTCAATAAAGACATTATCAGCATGTTCTAATGTCCAATTGTATGAATTGTTTGTGTTATGTTATTGACCATACGATGCATACGGCTTAAGATCTAACAGTGTTAAGATTAAGCCGATAGATAGTTACTTTACACAAAAAGTAAAAGCTACTTTATCAAACAGACTTCAAGGATCAGCGTATGAATGTCAACAATGGTGACAATTAACAAATTCAGATAAAAAGATAACCTCTGAACATTACAAAACAAACAGCTAAAAAGTCACAACAAAAATAAAAGCAAATAGTAAGAATAAAAGAAAATACTAAGACAGTTCAGCTGCATAATTTATTCATGTCGCACTGCATGCTGGGAGCCATGGATGAGTTTTGATTGGTGCACCCAGAATGCACTGCAACATGGAGCTTTATGTTGATAATAGGTGTGTTCGACTTGAAGCACGGCTACAGACGGCGATCAACGAGAGTAGCCGCTTGCAGTCGGGGGCAGATTTGACAACGCAACGAGCCGTCAAGCCGGACACTTTCTGCTCCCGTTAGTGACGCTCGCGCGGTGTTTGCATACTCTATCACAGATGAAGTGAATTAAATGCAATATTTGTCAAATACACAGACGTTTCAGAAACGTTTTCATGAGCAACAGAAACACTTTTTATATACTGCTTAATACAGCGCCATCTGTTCAAGAATAAAGTTAAACGTAAATATATACTATTTAAATACTAATAAAGTGGGGGAATATATGCGTTCATCAATGTTTTATGATAAACGTGACTCAATATAACAGTGCGA